CCAGAGTTTAAACGTCATGTTGTCCCCCCCTTTTTTTTTTTTTTGTTTTTAAAAAGAACAGAAAAGACAGGATTCTTGTTACGTCATAAGATTTTCAACGAAAATTTTAGAAACGTCCAACGATTCAAAAGAAATCCCTTCGAAAAGGTATAAAAACAAACTTGGACAAATTTTGTGCCATTTGATATATTCAAACAACCGGAAGTTGTTGACCTTAACTAAAATATTAACGGTTTTTTTGTTCAAACAGAGAAAATTTTAAATCACCGGAAAAATTATCAAAACCTGAAACGAGTTCGAGTCACGATGCGAAATCTTTGATGGAACAAAAAATACCCCAAGGTACGAATTCATCATACCTTTTTTTTCCCAGAAATAAGTTGGACGTTTAATTAATTTTTTTTTTTTTGGGGGGTTGGTTTTTTTCAGGTTTCGAATTTTCCACCACGAATCGGGGAGCAATTTTATTAATTTACGGAAATTATAAATACATAAAACATAAAACGATAAAAACGACAGAGTATTGGAGGTGTCCGAAAAATTTGGGTAAGCACAATGCGTGCAAAGCAAGACTCATATTGAAAAATGAAAAAATAATAATGAAAAATAATCACACTTGTAAATAAACTGTTTGTTGTTTGTTGTTGTTGTTGTTGTAATTGTGTATGTAAAAAGAAAAACAAACACTTTAAATTTGTATCGAGTAAATATTCGTTGTGTTAATGGCGAGTTTTAGTTTATCTCGATAAAATATAAATTCAAAAATTTTAACAAAACATTGAAAATTAATTCAAATAATTATAGGTCCAGGTAATAAAAAAAAAAAAATGGGGGGCCTTGAACCAGTTTTTACAATCAATTTCATGATTCTAACTTTTTGAAAATTGACAATTACATAAAAGAGCAAATTAGATTGAAAACTTTATGATTTTTATATCCTTTGCCTAAAAACGATAAATATTACAACAACATGTTAATTTTGAAACGAAAAGAAGACAATGTGACATCAATTCAAAAAAAAAAAAAAAACATCACACATTTATTTGCATTAATTTAAATATTCAATGTCGATAAAGTGTATATGTGTGTTAAGAAAATGAAAATTTTTATACAAACTTACCGGAATTATCTCTATCGAAACTTCTAAAACATGTTTGCCAATCTGTAACATATTTCCAAAGAGCACCAAATTCATCGAAACTAATAGTTCCTGTATTTCTCCTATCAAACATTGATATCATTAAACGTATTGTGTGAGAATTAAATGGTGTCCATGATCCATTTGATAATGCTTGTTGTAACTCGTCTTCTGAAATAGCACCACTGCCATCTTTGTCAACCCTGCAATTATAAATGTGTAGAAAAATAAGTAAAATAAATAAAATAAAGTTATAAACGTAATTTGATTTATCTCGAGTATTGCGCAATACTACACCTAAATAATCACAGATGATTTTCGAAGATAAAAAAAAAAAATCAAAAAAAAAAAAATTTGTATCAAATCCTTTAAAACATAATTTTAATAAATGTATATGGATAAATAAATAGTTATTTTATAAGAATAAAAAATTATAAAAACTATTCAAAAAAAAAAAAACGTCCTTGAAATCAAATTTTGTAATTTCCTGATTTTGTTCGTTTTTCACAATTCTGAGTAATCCAGATTATTTTATGCCTGTCGAAAAAAATTATAAAAATTAAACTTTTACCTTTGAAAAACACTTAATAAAAAATCTCTAGGTGGTAATTGTGTAGAATAAGCCATATTAAAATGTTTTTTTAAAAAAAATAACGGAAAAATTACATAAATACTAAAAAATTAATACCGACTGTTTTTTGGTATCAAATTAAACGCAACAGGCACATCCTATGTAAAATATTCAAGTGACGTGGTTGCGGATAAACTAATAAAGTTAAAGCCACGTTCAATTTAAAAAAAAAACGTTACAAATAAATGAAGTTCGAAATGATTAATTTTTTTTTTTTTTTTTTTTTTGTACTTAACACAGACAAGCACGGAAAGGCACAAAAATTAATTTTTTTTTTTTTTTTTTGACGCAAAACTATTAGTCATTAAAACAAAATAATTACATTGATTTTTTTTTTTTTTAGTTATTTAATTAAAATTACATAAATTAAATTTACTTTGATTTTTCTTTTAAAAAAATTTATTTATATATATATATATATATATATATTAATAAATTAAAACATCTTGGAATAAAAATATTTTAATAATTAAAATTAAAAATAATATTTATTGCTTCATTATTAAATTGTTTATACGAAAAAAAAAATTTTATAAATAAATGTATAATTTTTAAAATGAAAATCTTGACTCGAAATTAATTAAATGGTCTTAACTTAAATTAAATGCCAATTTAAAATACAAAAAAAAGAATAATTATACATTTATAATGCTAAATTAAATATAAATAATAAACATACTTATTAAATAAAATTACTTTAAATATATAATATATTTACCGAATAACATTTTTTTTTTTTTTTTTTTTTTTTTAAAATTAATCCAATGATTCTTCTTTGATTTTTTCCAAATCAGGTTCATTAGATGATTCATCATTTAAAAAATCTTCTAAACTTTTCGAATCTTCAGTATCTAAAATGACATCTTCAAGCAATGCTGAAATATCAGCCGTTTCATTGTCAGACTTTTTCAATTCGATTTCTAATAAAAATTTATTGTTAAATATATAAAAATTTTTAAAAATAAAATAATATTAATAGATTTTAAATGTAGTAAATGTTAAAAAAAACATAATTACTTGAAATAACATTTGTTTCCTTAAATGCCATCATGTCGTTTTTAAAACATTCTTCAGATGCTTCTCGACATTCTTTAGCAAGCAATTCTTGTTTCTCTTCGTGTTCTTTTAATTTGGAATGATAATTTTCTTTTAAATTACCTAAAAAAAAAAATTTAACTTAATTTAAAAAATGAAATCTTATGCAGTTTAGAAACAAAAAAAATTAATGCTTAAATGACTTACATTCTAAACTTTTTAAAACAGCCAAACGTTTTTCTCGATTGACTACTAATTGAAATCTATGATCTAATTGCCTACTAAAAAATTCTCTTTTCTCAATAATATCTTCTAAATCTATTAAATTTTTTTCAACTGAATTAAATAAGTCTTTTAATATCACAGTTTTACTACATAAATCATTCATTGAAATGATTATATCGGGAAGACCAGATAAAGCATTGGAAAAATTATTAATGTCATTTGATTTTCTCATAACCGTTTTGTATAAGACATCAATGTAATTGTCAGCAACCTAAATTTAATTTAAAAAATTTGATTCGATTTTAAAATTAAAGGGAAAATATCATTTGATTATGAATATAAGTTACTAACTTCAGCTTTGGTTGCATTATCTTGTGATATTTCATGTAATTCACACCAACAACTTTGAAATTTTTCCAATAAATCCGTACCGGCATAATAATTTAAATTTGTTGATTTTTTAGGCACTTGTTTTTTTGGAACTTCCGTCGATAAACCCCTTAATCTAATTAATAAAACAAAAAAAAACAGAAATATTTAAATTATGTCAATCATTATTAAAAATTATTAAATAAATAAAACCGATTTATTATTTACGTTGTAGTTATGTTTTCTTGTAAATTTTGTATAGTGTCACGTATGCTATAAAACATAATGATTAATAATGATTAATAAAAGATTATAAAAAAATAAAATAAATTTTTTTTTTTTTTAAATTTTTATTGTGTTAATTATAAAAATACATAATCCCATATTATTACGTGGCAGTAGAAAAATTACTTTTAGACGTCGTTTCAAAAACTGTTTAATCTTTAAATCCGCAACATTATTTAAGATTATTAATCTAAGGATATAAAAGTCGTTTTTTGTGAGATTCAGTTTATAATAATAATAATAAATTACAAAACGAATACATTTATGAGTATTTTTAATTTTTTACGTTTAATTTTCCTTCTTGGATTTCTTAAAAATTTAAAAAAAAACAGAAAAATTAACAGGATTTATATTTATTTATTTGAAAAATTCACCAACATTTCAAACCAAAAAAACAGAAAAGCAAATACAAAACAAATACAAAATTACATCAGCATAAACTAAAATAAGGTCAGAGACATACGATTATTAAGAAGCTCCAAGTTTAGAAGCTTGATTAACAAAATTAGCAAGGGTGATATCTCTTTGACTCAAACCAGCTACATCATGACTTGCCAATGTAATTTGAACTTTATTATAAACGTTAAACCATTCTGGATGATGATCCATTTTATCAGCTTTCAAAGCGATTCTTGTCATGAATCCGAATGCTTCGTTAAAATCCTTGAAAACAAATTCTCTATAAATTGCATCTCTATCTTTGACCATTGACCATCCAGATGATAAGAGAGGTTTTAAAAGTGTGTCTCTTTGCTCTTGAGTCAATTTTCCAGCCATTTTTCCTTTTTTAACAGGAGTACTTTGAAATCTATAACCCAATATGTCCTTTCCAGCTTTACATAAGAAAGAATATTTTAATTTGTTCATTCAACTAAAAAAAAAAAAAAAAAACAAATAAAATTCATAATTAAATTTATCTCTCACCTAAGAATATTATTATTGTAAAAATATCCTTTTTCTTTTTAAAAATGCATTCATCTATGAATAACAAAACAGGTTTTTATTATTACAAAATGTACAACTGGCTGCAATGAGTTAATAAAACTATGATAAAACTCTGCAGGGGTCAAGGAAAACAACATTTTTTTTCTTTTACAGAAGGCGGTGTGATATAATGTAGCAACCGGGTGACCACATTATTAAAACTTATTAAATTAAACATAAATCATGTGACAAACCATTAAACAACTTTTCCAAACCTAAACAAACAACAACAACCGAAGCAATTACTAAATATTTTCGAAAATTAACTTTAAATAATTTACAAACTAAATATGCTAATTAAAAATACTTAAACTTAAAGTGAAAGGCATTTCTTTTTTTGTCGACAAATACTACTAAAAAGTCTCTCGATATTCGACTACAATTTGTTCGACTAATTTTTTTTTTTTTTTTTTGGTTGCCAAGTACTAATTAACTAATCTCATTTAAAAAAAAAAGAAAGTAAATTAAAGACAATACGCACCGCAAAATTATTTGTTATAATTTAAAACTAAATCGTGTAATGAAGGTAAAACATTTTCTTGTTCCATTTTCAATTTAACAGCAGGAGGGGGAACACCAAATTGTAACATTTTAACATATTTCATAAGAGTAGGATCTAATAATGATTCCTCCTCTTGTTTTATTTCCCCTACACTTTCATCTATATTTTTTTCTTTATCATTATTATTATCATCTTGAGATTTATCGATTACTCTTTCTTCCGTAACGTTATTATTTTTAATTTGTCTTGTTGTTGTTGTTGTTCATCGTCAAGCTCGGGTACTGAACTTAATTTACTTTCAAGCATAATAATAGAACTTTCCAATTTTTGTATTTTATTTTCTAACGTCATGAGTCCTTGTTCGTAGGATTTTGATAAATTATTGAGAAACAATGCAGTGTTCACTATATAATGATTGACAAATGCCAATAATCTTTTTTTATTTATCGGATCAACGGTTTCTAGGTCTACATTGGGACCTATCATTGATAATTCCTCAACATTCATGTCAGTTAAATAAATAATCAAACTATCTGTCAAAATAAAATAAAAAAAATACTTGTTAAAATAATAATAATAATAATAATAGGTCACAGAAAATTTTTGATTTGAAATGATTTGTCACATGACTTTTTTTTTTTTTTTTTTAAATTATAATTAATAAAAAAAATTTTCCTTTTTAAATTAATCCTTTTTTTTTTAAATTCAAATTAAGAAAAAGAAAAGGATAAAAAAATGGCGGGGGAAAAAACATTTTCTCTTTTTAAAAAAAAAATCCAGAATTTAAACAGAAAAAAACTTTTTTTTTATTTGAACAAAATAACTCTTACCCGGGGTACTGGAAAATCAATAATTAAAACGAAATCAAATTATTTATACACAATCCTTCAATTCCACATGAGAAAACCTTGTTTCATAAAGTCATAGAGTAAATAATCAATCGTTATGGCGGAAAACTGTTAAAGTACAAATTACCATTGTTTAGCGTTATAAATTAACGTTTTAATTTTTGAAAAAAAACCGGTGCGTGTTAATTTTTTTAAATAAATTATACTTTCTATTAGGAAGACATTTTCTTCAAAATTATCTAAAATAAGTTCGTTTTTAAAATAAGCTTAAATTAAATGACAAAAATAAATTCTACAAATATTTAATCATATTCGTATTGTTGCCCATTGGATGGAAATTTCATATTTTTACCACGATCCGATTCTTCTGAAAATGACCGGTTGCTTATTTTTGTTTTTCCCCTGTTTTGCGATTAAAAAAAAAATAAATAAATAAATAAATTACATTTTGAAATGATTCTTTTGGAATTTTCCAGTAAATTTTCTTTCTCTCGCACCTGTTATTCCTATCGACTTTGACGTATTCGTTAACCATGTCTAATTCCATGAGCTCTTGTAAGAATTCTTCGTCGTGTGTGATAACGATGAGTTGAAAATTCGGTTTCGACGAATTTTGTTTCGCGAGTAAAACTTCGTTTAAAGTTCTCGCTAAATTTTTTATGTTTTTACGATCGAGATTCGTCGTGGGTTCATCCAATGTTAATATACCGCAATTGCTACTGAACGTTTCCGCCAAAGCCAAACGAATTATCAGAGATGCCAACATCTGCAAAACAAAAAATTTAATGTTTTTTTTTTTTTTTTTTTATGGAAACCTTCGAGGAGGAGGCAACAACAACAAGTCGAGAGAAAAGGGAAAAGAAAACCTTTTGCCCCGCAGAACATCTATTTCTCATTTCCAAATGAACGTTCGATTTTATTTGCACGACTTTGTAATTGTAATTTCTTCTTTTTTCCGTGCTTTCGATATTATCCGTTTGTATTTCGATGTAATCGATGTCGTTTCCCTGATATATTTTCCTCCAGTATTCTCTTATGAATGCGTTGACTCTCGTCATTTGTTGCTTGTGATAAGTCATCATTGCATATTCCATAGTTGTCGCATAACGTTCCAAATCGTTTCCGATCGCTTTTATAACCTTTTAAAAAGAAAAACAAAATTCCTCATTCTCAACCTTCCCAAAAGAAAAACGTAAAACAAGACGGAAAAACCCAAATCATACTTCGAATTTTAAATTTTCATTATTGTAATTTTCGTCAATGTTTCTCAACGTTTTACCGAGTAATTCTTTTTCAATCATTTTCATTTGATTTTCCATTTCCGACATTCGTCCTTGAATTTGAGCTTTCTGAAAAAAAAAAAAAAAAAATTTAAATTTAAAAAAGTTCGTTGGTGGTGCGTGTATACTACGTCATACAATACCCACTCTTTTCCCAATGTCATCTTCTTTCGATTTTAAATTTCTTTTTTCCCTTAACAATCCATCGAAATTTGCGTTACCGAATTTTTTTTCCATATCTTCAACTTCTTTTCTTAAATTTTCCGTTTCGATAGTTTTTCGACGGTACCTTAAATTATCGTTCAATTCCCTTTCCACGAGTTCCTGATTCGTGATACCTTTTTTTATGTTATTTATTTTTTTCCCCGAGTCTTCTTTCTTATTTTTAATTTCCCTTATTTCCATTTCAAATTTTTTCATCGTCTCTTGAACGACTTGGATTTTTTCGCTTATCCCCTTTTTTCCGTGATCTTCGATAATTTTATTTTGACAGTTGATTTCGTCAAAATCTTTCATCAATTTATTTATCTTCAAAGAGATAATGATAATAATAATAAAAAAATGTCTTAACCTTTCTCTCGATAAGTATCAAAAAAAAAAAGAAAAAAAAATTAAAAACTCACTTTATTCGTTATCCTTTCGATGATTTCCATATTTTTATTCTTTTCCAATTTTCTTTCCGATAATAATTCGTCTAAATTTTTTTTCCTCACGTTTGAATTTTTTTTTAAATCTTCGAGTTCTGCGATCAAAATGGCTTCTTCCCCTTCTAAATCTTGCACTCTTTCGATTAATCCCGTTTTTTTCCCGATGCTTCCCTGAATCTGATAAATAATCGATATCGAAAGGGTTTTTCTTTTTTAAAAAACAAATAATATTCTTCCCTGTTTTTACCTTATTTATTTCTTCTATTAGTGAATTTCTCAATGTTTGCTTTCCTTGTATTTTATCATTGAAATTATTTAATTCCGTTTGAAATTCATCCGCTTTAACTCTTGCCAATTTTAAATTTTGCCTTTTCCGATCGCATTCATCCTGAACATTTTTCAAAGTGTTTTTATCGATCCCTTTATTCCCTAAACGATCTTGCAACGAATTTATTTGTTTTTGCATGTAATCCCGTTCGGATTGTAATTCATCTAATAAAACCATGTCGTCCTAAAAAAATTATTATTTTTTTTTTTAAAAGTTTTAATTTTTAATCATTCACCTGTAATGAATCAATCACCTGTAAAGAAAGGCATATGGCTTCATCCGCTTGAGAAGAACTTATTTCGTTTCCCACATCCGACAATTCTTTTTGTTTTTTTTTCAATGACGAACTAACGGCATCCAATTCCGATTTTATTTCCGGTATTTCGCCATCTTTCAAACTTGAAATTTCATCGTTTTTCGATTTGAGCGTCAATAATTTATTGTATTTTGTTTGCTTTTCTTCTAATTGAGTTTTGTTTTCTTGCAAACGTCTCGGAACTTGTCGGATTTTAGAATTTAATTCTTCTACAAGAGACCGTGCGTCACTTTCTCGTGTGAAATCACGGTGACACAGAGGACAACAAGGTTCCGTTTTTTCTAATGCTCGAATATAACTGAAATAAATTTTTTTTTTTTTTTTTTTAAATTTTTTAAATGTTTTCCTTTTTTGCGTATGTAAAATTTTTACAAACCGTTGGTACATAAATTCCGAAGACGACAAAGTTCCTTTTATATCTTGTAATTCTTCTATTTCCTTTTGTAAACGAGAAACGGTTTCATCGAAATCATCGCTTCCGCATATTTCGTAAATGTCTTCTTCGTTTGTTCTCAATACCTCTTCTTTCGCTTTGAGTTTGTCTTTTAAATGTTTTCTTTTCATTTCGAGTTCCGTCAATTCTTTTTCTTTTTTCGAACGCAACGCGCTAACCTCTTTTACTTTTTGTCGCGCGTTTAAAAAATGATTTTGCAAAGCCATTTTGAATTTTGATTTTGGAACTTCTCCTAATATCGTTTGCAAATTGTCTTCGTGTTTATTAATCAACCTACGAACAAATTAATTTGGTAAACGTTAAAAAAGTCAATTTTTTATTTAAAAAAAATGACGCGTGGAAAATTTTTTTTTACCTTCGATATTGTGAATCTTTATTTGATTTCAATTCTAATTGTACTTCCAATTCTGTTGCCAGGGAAGAATGTTTTTGCAATTCTTTTACTTTGTCTTCCATTTCCGATAGATCATCTTCTAATTTATTTCTTTCATTTGAATATTTTTTTATGTTTTCTCTAAGTGTTTCGACGTCGGTAGTTTTTTCTAAATTTTCAATATCCAAATTGACTTCGGATAATTTCGATTCGAGTCGTTTAAGTTTACCAGCAGATTCGTCCATCTGTAATTTAATCGTTTTTAATGAATAAAAACACGTGAAAAAAAAATTTTTGCAATTTTTTTTTTCTCTTACCTCGTAAAGTTCTAATTTTATTTTCTCTCTTTGCGTTTTGATATTTTTTAAATTTTTCTCTTTGGCACTCATTTCCGATTGTGTCGTTAAATATTCTTCACGGATTTTATCTATTTTAATTTGTGAATTTTGATCTTCCTCTTCAAGCCATTGTTTTGTTTTTTTAAAATTTTCTTCTTCTTTTTTAATTTTCTTATTGACGCCATTCATCAATTCCTGGATCGAATTATCGTCGATTTCGGAATCAACTGTAAAAAAATATTATAAATAAAATATAAATTTAGTGAAAAATATTTTTATTTTTTTTTTTAAATTTCTCACCTGTTATTTCCAAAGTGGAAGCCAATTTAACCAACTCTTTGTTCCTCCTTTCAATTCTTTCATTATTTAATTCATCTTCTTTGAGTAATTGTCCCAACATTCCCTGTTCATTCATTAATTTATTCGTTAAACTCATTTCTTCAGCCGTATAATTTTTAACATTATTTTCTTCATCATTAATTTCTTTTTGTTTAAACGACAATTGTTTATTAAAATCTTTGATTTCTTTTTCTAATTCTTCATCGGTTCCATTGTAAAAATTTTTTATTCTACTTTTTAATTCTGTTAGTATATTTTCATTTCCTTTTAATTCAGCTTTTTTCATTTCTGAAACATAATCATTGTAAATTATTATACGAGTAATACAAAAAAAATTAAATTTAAATTTAAATTGAAATACCTTTATTCGCATGACTTTTACTAATTGTTAATTCTTTTTCATTAACTTCCTTAAGTTTATTTTCTACATCTACAAGTGCAGAATTTAATTCAAAAATTTCTTCCTTACAAGATTCTACCTGTAATTTTGTCTTTTCCATAACCCTCCTCTTTTCGACAGCAATGTTTTTATTTTCTTTTAAATATTTCAATTCTATTTCTGTACTTTTTAAAACATCCTTGAGTTTTTTCCTTTTTTCTCTAACTTTATTAACACATTTATTATATTTATCAGAGTCGAAAATTTGATCAAATTTCTCTTTGAGTTTTTGATCAGTATCCAAAGGCCTGGAGCAAACAATTATATATAATTTTTTTCAGTAAGGTACATTTGCTTTAATTTAATTATTAAAAATTTTTTTTACCAATGTGAATCATCCTGGGTGCAAAAAATAACATTTTCTAAAATGGATCTTGACACTCCGAAAATTCTCGATATTTCAAATGTAAAATCTGCACAACGATTACTAATACTGACTTTCTGAAATTATATTTTACATATGCTTTGGGTAATGGATGAAATCATTAATGCAATAAATTTAATTTTATGTAAAAAATTACCTCTTTGGTTTCTCTGTCGGTTCTAGTGATGACATTATCTAACGATTTAGTCGTTAGTGACTTTTTAGTTCTTGTAGCTTGAACTTGTCTACATAAATCGACAACATCACCTTTGACATCCCACATTCTAAGTTTAACAAATCCTTTAACCTAATAAACTACACTTAAATTTGGGAACCATGAATAAAATTTTTCAATTTTTAATTACATGTATTCAAATACTTACGGTGTTTCTATTCGTTAGACTTGGATCATACACAAAAGTACCTTTTCCAGCAGGTTCTTTTTGAGCTGTCACGTACCTTAAACATTCTATAATCGTCGATTTACCACATCCGTTTTCTCCTAATATTAACGTTAAAGGTTTTTGAAAATGAACAGTTTGCATATCTTCTTCTTCGCAACCGAAACTTCGTATTCCACATATTTTAATTTTATTTAATGTGGCCATTCTTTTAAATGTAGTATGAAAAGTAAAGCGGGAAAATCAACTGTCACAATCCTTGACAAAAAAAAAACTGTTATAAGTTTTCTCTCTCTCTCTCTAAATTACTTATTATTATTATTATTTTAAGATTAAATTAAATTAAATTTAAAAAAAAAATAACATCAAGTTTTTTTTTTTTTATTAAACTAGATATACGGTTAAAAATTTTAATTTTAAATGAATATATTACATTAACAAGTTTTAAAACTAAATATATTTTACGATAATGTTTTTTTACTCTATGAAATCCTTGACCGGTTTTTAATTTATATATGTATATTGTATATGAGACCAACATTGTTTTCATGAAAAATGTCATTTACAATTTCAGATAGAGATTTAGATTTTAATAAATGGAAGGTAAATTTTAAATATTTGATGATATCATTTACATGATTTTTATTGATTTTCCACCGTGAAAAACCAATCTACCAAATAAATATGTTAGTTATTTATATAACCTTAAAAATGCCCTATGAACCACAATTGTTAAGGCAAATTTTTTGAAATTTAAAAGTTCATCTTTGTAAAACACATAAATTTTTTTTTTACTCCCATACTTTCAAAAAATAATATACGTTTTGTAAAAAATTTTGAAATTATTTTATTTAGGTGGCAGATTTAAGAAAAGAATTAAAAACGAGAGGACTTAATGTAGATGGTAAAAAAAGTGAATTAGTTGAAAGGTTGCAACAAGCAATTGGAGAATCTTCTCTCTTGGATGAAAATGTTAATGATCAAGATGAAATATTAGACGAAGATGTTGTTTTAACGGTAGGTTTACGTTTCGAAATCGTTTTTCTATTATTATTATCATCATCGTCATTATCGATTTTTATGTTTTAATTTAATTCGAATGCAACCTCAAAAAAATTTTTTTCAATTTTTAGGATGATGAAGCCTTCGAAGAAGAAGCCGAATTATCTAAACTTGACTCACCTGATAAAAATTCAGACAGTGAAAAATTAAAAGTGGGCGAAAAGAGAAAATCGATTGATAATAATGAAAGTACAACAAAACCGCCTAAAAAAATTATTTTAAATAGAAATATATTTACTATTGATAATGATATTAATAAAGAAAAAGGTAAAGAAAATACTGATGAAGGAAATTACGACTTACAAACAGGACAAAAAAAAGATCCTGTCAAAATGGATGCTCTCAGCCCACAAGAGGTAAATTAAATAATATTTTTTTTTGCAAGTTCTCAATATTTAAGCTCATAATAAAATAATTGAAAAATATTTCAGAGACTCGAAAGACGAGCGGCAAAATTTGGAGTGGCCATGTCGAATGAAGCTAAAAAAGAAGCGAGAGCTGCCAGATTTGGTTTACCAACAGCAGCAAGTAAAATCGGTGGTCTTGTCAACACAAACATTGATGTATTAAAAAAAAGAGCAGAAAGATTTGGTACAACACTGCCAGGAAGTATTTTAGAATCTGTAAGTGACTCTTTGTCATCAATCATTCGAAACTCATTGCAAAAACCCTCAAAATCTCATCGAAATAATAATATTTTCAGGCTGAAATCGAAGGGAAAAGAAAAAAAAGAGAAGAAAGATTTGGTAAAGTTGAAAAAATTTCCCCAGTGACATCTCTCAAAGGAAAATATAATTTTTATTCATCGACCCTTGAAGAAAAAAAAAGACTCAGGGCAGAAAGATTTAAAATCAAATAGTTAACCAACAACCCAATATATAAATTTTTTTTTTTTTCAAAACAAAAACAATAATTTTGTAAAATTTGCTTCCCTTTTAAAAAAAAAAATTTTGTTTTTATCAATAATCATTTGTTTTTCTCAATGTTGTAAAAAAAAAAAAAAAAAAAAAAAAAAAAAGAATTCAAACAAAATGAAATGATTGTTTAAATACAATCATTAAATTTCTTTTTTTTTTTTTTTCAATTTATGTAATAGATTACAACGAGGGTTTTATTACGACCCTTATCACAATCCTTATCACTACCCTTAAAATGATAACAAAATTATTATTATTATTATTATTACGTGTTTTCGTTACTATTAACCATATTAGGAATAAAATTTAAATTTATCTTTTTAAACGAAAAAAATGAAATTTTTCTTTCTATATAACAAACAATGAAAAAAAAAAAAATTCTTAAATAAAATTTTAATGATTTGTGTGTGTGTGTGTGTGTGCGTAACGTTTTTCATTGTGTTAAATCAATTAAAATTTTTCCGATAATGATAATAATAATAATAATAATAATAATTAAATTATTTAATTGAAAACAAATAAAAATGTATATTTTATTAATAATAAAACATTACGCCGAGTCATTTATTTGTTTTTATTATGTATCAATCGTTTTTCTTTTTTTTTCTATTCCTACCCTAGAGAATGAGAGTGAGAGAGAGAGAGAGAAAGATTGTTTCGAAAAGTATTTTAAACGTTCTAGAATAAATTTCTATTCACGTAATATTTTCTAGGGGGTTTTTTTTTTTTTTTTTTTTTAGCGTTTGCGCACGTTAAAATATATAAAAAGCGCAAGACAATTTTTTCTTTTTAAAATTTCGATTGAAATTTTTTAGTATTTTTTTTTTTTTTAAATTTTTTTTATAACAAATTTATGTACAAGTTTCGTTTTTTTGTAACTTTTTATGTACGTAGTGACGATAAATTTAAGAGAGAAAAAATTAAAAATTAACGGAAAAAATAATCAACTCAATAAATTATCGGCGTTTCAAAAAAACGAGGGGGAAGGGGGAAAATTAATTAATTAATTAATTAATTAATAATAAAAAAAACATTATTTACCTTATGTAAATATTTTGTTCGTGTTCCTCGTAAAACTTTTTCTTATGATGAATTTTGTAATGAGTATTGTAAAACATTTTATCGATTGTTTGCCGGCTGATTGTGATGATGATAATAATGGCCGAATGGATTTGAATAACGTTTTCCTTTCATAAACGTATTAATTTGAAGAACGTTCTAAAATAATGTTAAATAATCAGAAAGATTGCAAGGTACATATTCAAATTTTCTATTTATATTATTATTTCCCTTTATTTTAAATTTATTAAAACGATTGAAAAATTAACGTAATTAAACGTTTGTTCTAATAATACATTCCAACGGTGTTGATTTTTTTCCCCATTTCGAACGTTGCATTTCAGTTTTCAATCAAATATCAATTATTTATACTTTTTAAACAATTATTTATTTATTTATTTACAAAAAAGTTTTATTTTTCATAAATTTTCTATTTTTAATCTGTATAAAATTAAAATCTTACGTTTTCCTGAGTTAAATTCATTTCAATTTGATTTTCATTTGTTACAAAACGTCAATCTGATCGAAATTCAAATACGAAAATGTCGTTAATTAATTACTGCCAACTTATTAAAATCAAAAAAATTTTTTTTTTGTTATCCTACGGTCAGTTAAATGCACGATTTATTTTAATTGACACGATAATTACCAACATTTTTTATTACTCTATGACTCTTTTTAAAATATTCAAAAAATGTCAATTTTAAACGGAGGAGAGTCATTTGTTTAATTTTCGATAATTTTTTTTTTATAATCACGTTTACGTTATTATTATTATTTATTTATAATAAAATTAATTAATGTTTATTTTATTTAATTAACGTTTTAATTAGTATTAATTAAAATACCGAAAGGGAAAAAAATATCGAAACGATATTAAAAAAAACTATTTAAAAAATTTTTTTTAACGACTCCGCCCCGTACGTTATAAATTTGAATTTTTTTTATGTAAAATAAAAAAAACCGTTGATAGATAACGCGAACGAAAATTTCCGTTCTAACATTTATTATTATCATTTTGAAAACTTTTTTTTTTTTTTTTTTTTTTTTTTCTCATATGGATAATCTTTAAATCGTTTATAAACATTTTATACGTGTCGGGCTTTCAACAAGTTTAAACTAATTTAAACGTTATTAACAAAAAAAAAAAAAAAGGTTTGGGTTCATCTTTTTTTTTTTTTTTTACAAAAAAATTTTTACCTTCCTTCGTTAATTTAATTATTATTATTATTATTTAAAAAACCCCCCTTTTTTTTTTTTAAATTAAATTTAAATTTAAATTTAAATTTAAAATTAAATTAAAATTAAATTTTTAACTTACATTTATTAAGTAAGAAATCAATTATCAGTATGTGACAGTGAGTGATAAACAAACATTTTTCTCATTCGGTTGTGTTTTTTCATCAATTTAATTTTCATTTTGATTGTTTTCAATTGATACATCATCTACAAACAAATCAATCAATCAATCAATCAATCATCATCATCATTATTCATTGAGAAATTTCATTTAAAAAAAAAATTTTAATGTGTGTCGATATTATTATTACTTATTAGAGTATTTTCTTAATTCCATTTAACTCCGCGTGTTTATTTTTTTTTTTTTTTTGAATGATAAGAATTTTTATTATTTTACGATAATGATAAGAAATGAAATAACATTTTCTTCATAATCATTATTAGTTTTTAAATTTTTAATTATTATTATTATTATTTAACTTGTTATTATTATTTTATTGTGACTCCCCTTTGACATTGTTCAGAATTTCGTTGTAATATTACAAAAAAAAAAAAAAAAATTATTATTCTGAACAATTGAGAAAATTTTCTGTTTAAAAAAAAAAAAAAAAAAAAAAAAATTTAATGACATAATTATGTGTGGGTGTGTGCGTGTGCGTGTGTATCACAAAAAACTATGATATCGTTTACACAATTTTTTTTTTTTAATCAGGTTATATTACCGGTTAAATATTATTATTATTATTATTATCAAAATTATTATTGATATAAAATTACGTTAATTGATTTTTTTTTTTTTTTTTAAATTTTTTTTTTTTTATAGATTTTATCATTATTATTTACCGGTAAGAAAATTGTACCGATAAAAAAAAAAAAATATGGAAAAAGAAACATTAAGCATAGAAAATGACGATTTCGTTACCGGAAGTAAATTAAATCAATATCTGGCAACTTTGGCGGGTAAATGAAAAAAAAAAAAAAAAAAAAAAAAATTAAATTACCTTTTTTTTTCTCTCTCTCATAAACTCGAATGTTTGTGTTTGTGTTTGTTCCTTTGTAGCCGCTTTTGGAGCTTTCACCGTTGGTACAATTTTATCATGGAGTTCTTCTGCTTTGCCAATGTTGCAAAATTCCACGACGACTCCTTTCGATGAACCCATTACAGAAAGCGAAGGAATGTGGGTTGGATCACTCGTAGCAATCGGAGCTTTGATCGGAGCTTTTCCAGCAGGGTAAAACCATTGTTAGAAACCGCAAGTTCGATAATTTTCAATTAATCATCCTAAATATTTTCAGGTATTTGGCGGATAAAATCGGAAGGAAAAATCTTCAATTGACATTATCCGTTCCATTCATAATTTCATGGATTATTATTATTCTATCCAAACAAATCGAACTGCTTTATTTTGCCCGACTCTTAGCTGGAGTCGCTGTTGGTGGTATATGCGTTGTTGCTCCATTATATATCGGAGAAATAGCTGAAACTTCAATAAGAGGTGGTTTAGGCTCATATTTTCAGGTAGTAATCTTCTTCTAGAATTTTCCATTTAATTACGTAATTTTAAAACTATAAACGATTTGAAAAAAAAATTTTTTTTTTTTTGACCTGGAAAGATTATCTTTAAGTGTATCGTACAATGTTCAATATGAATTACTATCTATTTTTTTTTTTAGTCAAAAATATAATAATGATGATGATTTCTCGTAATTGTATTACTTATTTAAATTTTTTTTTTTTTTTTTTTTCCCATTGACAGCTTTTACTCACCATAGGAATATTATTTTCTTATTTAATCGGTGCATTGGTTAATTACGTATGGTTAGGCGGGATAAGCTGTATCGCTCCCGTTATTTTCTTAATTGCTCTTTTTTTCATGCCTGAAACGCCTTTTTATTTGATATCTAAAAATAAAAAGAATTTGGCTGAAAAATCATTGAAATGGCTACGTGGAAATTTAGTCAACGTCGAACTGGAATTAAATAAAATAGAGGTATTATTATTATTATTATTATGAATTTAAATATAATTTTTTAATTGTTTCTTTTTAAAGCTGTATTATTTAATTTCAGGTTGAGGTGACGGAAGCGGCACAAAATAAAGGTACATTTAAAGATTTGATTTCGAAAAAATCTAATGTCAACGCTTTGGTCATTTCATTGGGCCTCATGCTTTTCCAACAGCTTTGTGGTATAAATGCCGTCATTTTTTATGCTGCTGAAATATTTCGAATTGCTGGTACAGATTTAGATCCTTTCGTTTGTGCCATTATCGTCGGCGTTTCTCAGGTGATTTAAAAATACTCGAAAATGAAAACATTTCTCTCTCTCTCTCTCTGTCTCTCTCTCTGTCGTTCTCTCTCTCTTTCTCTCTCTGTCGTTCTCTCTCTCTCTCTCTCTCTCTCTCTCTCTCTCT